GTGGGCCATTAGTAGGAGTGCGGAGCGAAAGAAAGATCTTTCGGGAGAGACACAGCGGGAGGCATTAGACCATGGCTCCCATTAGCTCGACCGGGTTTTTCTCTCGAAAAGAAATTAATGGCCGATCTTCGCGCGGAATTTCGCCCGCTTCTCTTATTCTCTATACCGCGTAACCTAACCTCCCGAGAATCCCGAATCGAACGGATCCGTGATTCGAAATCGTCGCTCGTAAAGACGTGTTTAGTAGTAGGAATTAACTGGCTGGGGAAATAGGGGAGGGGAGGGGTGGGAGGAGGAGAAAAGGAAGATATAGCAAGTTCATAAAAGACGATCGCCTAATGGAATTGAGTCTTCGAGGCAGCGAGCGTCGTCCGTTCCGCGCGACGATAATTCGTTTAACCACATTGTAAGAACCATTTATTTATCCGAGCGGAGAAATTTATTTTCAGCGTATGGGACAAGACTTTTATTAAACGATCAATCAAAGCGAGGAGAGGAGAAACGCGCGGCAAGAAACGTCCCGGTATAAACGTCGGTGTTAAGCGTTGTACCTCGAAGCTATAGTGGCCTCATAGTCGTTCGCGCTCGCAGTTGGGAACCACGTGAGTGGCACGTGACTAAGAGGATGTAGCAATTATATCTTGACTCCCTCCCTCTCTCTCTCTCTCTCTCTACACCGAGCCTCTTCACTCGGAGCCCGGGTCCCCCCGGTCTTCGTAACGCAACAATTAACGTGGCTTCGTGATATCAAAAATGACCCTTCCCCGAATCCGAAAACCGGCGGCCGCCTCCCGTCAAAGGAGGCCGCAATAAATTCTTATTGCCGTTCATCGGGGTATTTACGGTTCCCCGAACGCCAACGCTACTTCTTCTCATTATCTCGTCGCCCGATTTCGTTTATTATTATTACGCTTCCCAACGAATTTTACAAATCGAGACGGGCGATTCTCCCTCTCCCTCTCCCTCTCCCTCTCCCTCTCTCTCTCTCTTCGGAAAGAAGCGCGATTCATGAAAGGATCGATGAAGGAAAAACGGGAGATTCGCCAAGATGACTTTTGCCCAGGGGATCCTCCATCAAGCACGTGATAGCCGCACACGTAAAACGCACCACGTCGGACGTGGCGGAGTATACGTGGAGGAGAAGAGAGCTGCTACCCTCTTCTATAACCCGTGCGCACGTCGACTATAATTATCCTCGGGTAATCACGACCCCACACCACTGTCTTCCAAAGCCCGCTTACCGCAGTCCGGCCACCGTATTCCGCAAAATTAGTATTTCCATTCTCCGTGGAAGAGAAGCGAGCCAGATGGAGGGGCAGATGAGAGGG